TTTTGGAGGGGGGAAGATGGCTCATTTAGGGCACCCCCCAACCCCCTCCAAATCCCCCCATGAGACTGAAAGAGGTGGCCACAGAAAAATCATCTCCATTTTAGGCTCCCTTGGCATCAGACAGAGATGCCCCTGTTTCTCCCTTCCTGCCTCACCAAGGGTTTTAAAAAAAAGCCGAAAGCCATCCGTATGGAGGGGGGGAAGGAAGGAACGAAGATGTCTCATTGATCTGGAAAGGATTCTTAGAGTTTCGCCTCTTTGGTGTTGCAGCTGCTTCCAATGTTTGGGAAAGTTGAAAAGTTGTGTTTTTTTGAGTTGCGGTTCAACGCGTTGCCCAGCCGATACAGACGGCCACGGGATAGGGATGCTAGGAAATGGGCCCTGGCTTTTCGGCCTGGAGAGCCGAAGAGACACTTGTCTGTGCTCAGAGGTGGCACCACAAGCTTCCTTGGATCCTTGTGGCGTGTGGGTGTGGTTGGGTGCAGGTTCACCGATGTGGGCCTGGAGTCTTCGATTCTTGATCCTTTCGGCTGAACAGGCTGGATTTCGGAATGAAACCCAGGGGGTGCCCCTGAACAGCTCTGCCAGATCACCCATTCTGGCCTGCCGGGGGTCAATAATTCTTCCACAAGGAGTTCAAAAGCTTGTGGTCCACGGAGAGGAGACGTTCAGACGCTCTCTGGAGAGCGAAAATGCCGGTGCGCGTGACACCGAAGGCCCACAAAAAGTGCCCAGATTGAATCCATGGGAGGCTGCTGGGGAAAGGATCTGTGGGACCAGAATCCCCCCAAAAGTCACTTTTTGGGACTGGACCTGCTCAGCTGGCCAGACTGCCTGAGGATTATGGACTTTGTAGTCCCTGCCGCCTCCCTCCTAAACTCCGGGGACATCGTGCAATACCAAGGATTTTTCAAAACCTCGGGGAGGGGGGCCACACAAAGCAAAATTCCTGCCCGGCGTCCGTACCCGAGCGCTGGTTCTGTCGGGTGATCCCTCTCTGTCTTAGGTCGAGAGAGTTTTTTCAGTCTGTGTTGCAAGGTGTAGCTCGCTGTCTAGCAGGAAAAAAAATATATGTATACTCAGACATCTGCTTAGCAGCCGTGTTTACTTTCTCCCTGCATACCCCAGGGTTCAGCCGGGCCATTGTGAAACGGGCGCCTGGGGTGTGCTTTGGCACTGCCAGGCATGCCAAGGTCTAGCCTGGATTGGCATGGCTTTCTGTGTGGGGAGGGACAGAGGTTGGGGGGGGCGCTGTGTCCAGCCCGGCAGGTCGATCCGGGAAACGGTCGTTCTGAGTGCAATCTGACAGAGTTCAGGGCAGGATTCCACCCCCCCCCGTGTTCTCTTCCTGGTGGGGTCCACCTGGGCATGCAGGAGGCGCCGAGTGGGGGCCAGGGCCAGCCAGCCGGGAAATGGGGGAGTCACATGGGGGGGGTGGAAAGAGGATCTTCCGGTTGGTTTTGCAAGCTTCGGGTGAGCTGGCGCTCGGGTCCAGAGGCCTCCCAAGAGAGAATTGGAGAGGAGCCCAGGAAGAAGAAGGAGGCATTTCCATGAGAGGAGGCTGGACTTCGGAGGGTGGACAGGGCGCTCGGTCTGTGCCAGCTAGTCCTCTTCAGAGATTTCCAGTTGACCCTCCCTCCAGTCCTTCAGAGATCTCCGATCCGCGGGGATCCCCCAAATCCAGCTATTCTCTAACAACCTCAGAAAAGAGCCTTCCGTGGAGTTTGGGTCATTTGGGACAGCCAGGGGCTCACCTTCTGGGCTTCGTAGTTTGGTCTGGACCCGTTCAGCTACTCTTGAATGCTCCTCAGCATGTGAGAGGGCCATTCCCCGCATCTAGAAATCTAGCACGTGCCCGATAGAATTCTCCCAACCCGATCCTTTCCCCGAGAGGCGAAAGTTCTAGCTGTAAGGAACTTCTTTTAAAAGGTCCTGAAGAAAGTCCCATCAGGGGAACAGCCCATTCTCTCCAGCCCAAAGTGGCACAATCTCTAATGGATAATTCTGATTTTTTTAAAAAAGCAGATATACAGCTGCAGGTATATGGTTTGAGCTGTAAATGTTTGGACCCTGTGTGCTTTTGAATTCTCAAATCGACTTGTCTGCAGGGAACTAAAGTTTGGTGCGCTGTCATTTGAATGGCAATTTGCCTGTGGAGCTATATACTGTAGAGCTTCCAGCTTCAAACGCAGTCTACCTCTGAATAGCCGTCTGTCTAGGGAAACCACTGAGGGTGGGGGAGAGAGTCCGTCTGCCTCTGGAAATCTTATCTGCCGTTTCTTACGAAGCGGAGGTTTCGAACCTCCCCGTTTTAGCCGACGTTGCGAGAAAGCCAGCCCGACATGCTGACTGCGTCGATTCGCGCGGCAGGTCCGTACACGCCGACTCTGAAGCAGGTCCCACGGACTTCAGAGAACAGCGCAGGATTGGAGCCTCGCTGATCCCTTTTGGCATGATGGCTTCCGTTCCGCTCTTGCTGGTCCTGGCTGCTCCCATTAAAATTAAAAAAAACACCTTCCCGTCTCCAAGCTCCGTATTCGAAGCAGGTTTACTGGGAAGCTAGCCGTGTTCGAACCCGAACTCTGGGAAACCGAGGCACAAAACACAGATGATTTTGGGGAGGGGAGGAATCTTCAACCCAGCCCTATAATCAATCCCACTTTTTCTGTTCTGGCTGCGGTGAATTTGGGGCTGAGAAAGCCCCGGGTTTTCAAATGCCTTACGAATCCGTAAAGCAGAATTTAAAACAGAAAGAAAAGCCCGGATTTAAGAGGAGAGAAACCTGCACCCCATAATCCCAGCCGAGATGCTGAGGTTTCGGCGATGGTGGACAGCGTCCCACCATCTGATTCAATTCCCTCCCTCTTCTGTGGAACAGAAAATCTAGATTACTGATCTAGATGCATATTGTAAGAGGTCTATTTCCTCGTTCCCCCTTTTTATTTATTTGTTTTAATTCCTTAAAATATTTTGTACCCCACTTTTCTCCTTAAAAAGGACCCAAGGCGGCTAACATCATTAAAGGACGATATTTAAAGCAAGCAAGAGTTGAGTATACAAATCCGTAAAGGATCGAGCGTACACCAGATTGAAAAAAAAATAAGCGAAGTCAAACACATCCAGAGCAGGTCAGGGTAGATTTTAAAAAAACCCAACATGGGAAGTCATTAAGGGAAAGTAGTTTTGCCTGCCTGAAGAGAAACGTCTTGGCCTGCTTGTGGAAGGACAGTAAAGATGGGGCCAGGCTGGTTTCCAGTGGGAGGGAGTTCCACAGTCTGGGTGCAGCCACGGAGAAGGCCCTCTCCCATGTCCCCCACCAAACACCTCTGTGAAGGTCGTGGGACCGAGAGCAGGGCCTTCCCCGATGATCTTAACATCCGAGGCTCATCAAGGCAGTCCTTGAGATAGTTTGGATCAGACCATGATCCAGAGGGTCCTTTGAGGATGATGATGATAGTTCAGACTAAGAGCTCTGTTTAGGCTTTGGTGTTTTGAAAGCAGATCCGTCTGCTTGGCGGATCTGGAGAGGAAAGCCTTTCCCCCAGCAAATTAAGTTTCATAAGTTTACGCTGTCTTCATTATTTGCCCGCCCCGCCATCTATATACGTCTCACTTGTTAGCATACAATCATTTTTAAATAGCTGGTGATTGCTGGAGACTTGCTAGAGGTGACGTCATGCCTGTTCCGTCTTCTTTGCTCCTCTGCCGGGAAGATGGGATTTTACGTTATCCCAGAGTCATCTGATGTGCGGTGAAGGAGGCCGTTGCCCTTCCACCCCTGCGAAAAATCCTAAACAATTCTGGTCCGATTTCCCCCCCCTCCTTCTGCTTTGGAGGACCACAGGAAAGGAGCCTTTCACGTTTCTCCCCCCCTTCGTCTCAAAATATACACAGTCTTCTAATTCCATTTTGGACTGGAAGCATAAAAACACACGTTCTTTGAAGCATCCACATCATTGGTGAAACACAGACACAGTCCTAACTCTGGCTCTGTGGAGGACAGAGATGGGGAAATCCTTGGGAAATCCAGGTTAGACT